TCTCAAAACCATGCCGTCTATAAAAAGCCTGAATGTCAAGGGAAAAGCCCCTACATAAATGAACAAGCAGGCATGTAGGAAAGAGTGGGTGACTCAAAGAAAAGGATCACCTTATTAATTCTCCAAAGTGTACATCACATGCCTAAAATAACATAGGTGAACTTCATGGGAGAAGCTCCTATGTAGATAAACTATCAACCATGTAGGGAAGCATGGGCGCCTTGAAGAAAAGGATCGATTCCCAAAATGGATCATCTAATTAATTATCCAAAGTATGTATCATATGCTTCCCATGATGAAGTTGAACGTCATAAGTCCCTACATGGATGAACCATCCACAATGTAGGAAAGCTTGGGCGCCTCGGAGAAGAGGATTGATTTGGAAAAGGGATTACCTTGATAATTCTTTGAGACGTACATCACATGTCTCCCATGAAGAAGTTGAATATCACGTGAGAAGTTCCATCAATATGCATGGAAGCGTAGACGTCTCGAAGAAGAGGACTGGATCCCAAAAGGATTCTCTCATTAATTCTTTATGAGTGCTCTACACTCACGATATTTATGCCATTTAATTCATTATTTTGTTATCATTGAGAATGTTTTATAACGTTTTAATGTGCGTTTTGATGTTGTGATAGAGGTTGATGAAACTGAAAGAAATAAGCAAAAGCTGGAGAAATTGGAGAAATTGGAGAAAAGGACCAAATTGTAAGAGATTCAAAGTTTATGGACTAAAATACAAATAATGAAAAGTAGCATCAAACCTCTCAATGAATATCCAAGAGTGTTAAGAGTCAATTGGATGAAAAAATACATCAAAAGGATCAAATTTAGTCAAAGTGTGATCACATATCAACTTCTAATCGAAAAAGTTATGCTCCGGGTTTTCAGTCTCACATTGAGACTCATTTTTGATGTAGCCGATGATCGAATTGGAAAATAATAGCTGAAGCATTGAATTATCTTTCCAATGCATCTTGAATCACCCCAATTGGATATCGAGAAAAAACGTTGTGCTAAAAATACTAAAAGATGCGCAGTCTATCTTTTCGACTGAACTGGGCATCGCAGTGCCCATATTTCTGAAAATAACAGCAAAGCAAGCGCCGCAATACCCATATTGGGGGCCAAGGCACTGGCTATGTGGAAAAAATGTTTTTTTTTTTAATTTCTTCGGTCTCTTTTCTTGGCCCATCTCAACCCTAATTTGTCCAAGAAATTCAAGTTACGATAAACACCATTCAAAAGACCTATTTTCTCCAACAATTGAGAGGCAAGATTGAAGATAATTCAACACACAATTCATCAAGGGCAAGAAGGCTAACATCAAAGAATCAAGCAAGGAGGCATGAAGAAACATCAAGGGGAATTCCAATTAAAAACTTCAAAATAGTTTTCCTTTCTTTTTCTCTTCATGTTATTCATCAATATGTTTAGATTTAATTCTTCTATCATGAACTAAACATCGAATCTAGGGTTTGATTGTAACCACATCTTGAGAATATGGATTGATTAATCTAGTTATTTCTATTTGATTTTTCATATGTGTTTATTTGTGTTATGATTTTAATGCTTTAAATTAATTTGCCACTAATTGAATGAGTAGATGCTAGTCAATTATGGTACTCGAGAGAGAGAAATTTAGGTGCGATCATAAGATTAACACAACATAGATTTTATACGTTTCGAGAGAAAGTATAGGATCTATGAAGCTTACTCCACAAAAGAACTAGGACTTTGATAAATTCTTGATTTTAATACGAAATAGAGATATTGGAATTAATAGCTAGGATTAATTTCTAGCCGGCACTCGAGATAAGTGGTAGAATTACATTTGGGTTCTTGCTTATAAACATTGAAAATTGATCGGAGATAATCAGGCTTTTGAAAATCATATTTGATGGTGAGGTGAAATCATAACCCTAGGCTTTTTAATCTTGATTATTCTTATATCTTGCATTTATTTGTTGAATTTGTTACCACATTCATCACGTTAATTTAGTTAAAATCATTGATTTCAAATTTTTATTTATATAGATAAAATAAGAGCTACACAATTATAATACTTAGAAGAAATTGAATTACAATCTCTATAGGTTCGACACTCTTAACTCCTTTACTATATTACAAAACTTGACACTGTAAGATTGCAGTAATTTCACGTTGTAGAAAATACATGAAAAAATTTTGACGCTATTTCCGAGGATTGTTTAGTTTAATTTTTACTAATATTATTTCCAAGTAGCTTTTGTTTTAATTTTGATTTCTTTACTTTTAATTAGATTGCAATTCTTGTTTCAAGTTTATGCAAAGATCGAGAAATCTCGAACTACTACCCATTGACCCTGAACTAGAACACACTCTCTATTTTTTAAGGGGCTTACAGAGACACAATCGCGAAGCAGTAGCAGAACAAGATCCACTAATAGCAAATCAGAACAATCATAATGTTCAACAAAGGGTGATAAGGGACTACATCAAACTAGTTGTCAATGAGAACTACTCTAGTATTGCACACCCAATAGCTGGAAATAATTTCAAACTGAAGCTAGGGCGTTTCGAGAGAAAGTATAGGATCTATGAAGCTTACTCCACAAAAGAACTAGGACTTTGATAAATTCTTGATTTTAATACGAAATAGAGATATTGGAATTAATAGCTAGGATTAATTTCTAGCCGGCCCTCGAGATAAGTGGTAGAATTACATTTGGGTTCTTGCTTATAAACATTGAAAATTGATCGGAGATAATCAGGCTTTTGAAAATCATATTTGATGGTGAGGTGAAATCATAACCCTAGGCTTTTTAATCTTGATTATTCTTATATCTTGCATTTATTTGTTGAATTTGTTACCACATTCATCACGTTAATTTAGTTAAAATCATTGATTTCAAATTTTTATTTATATCGATAAAATAAGAGCTACACAATTATAATACTTAGTAGAAATTGAATTACAATCTCTATAGGTTCGACACTCTTAACTCCTTTACTATATTACAAAACTTGACACTGTAAGATTGCAGTAATTTCACGTTGTAGAAAATACATGAAAAATTTTTGACGCTATTTCCGAGGATTGTTTAGTTTAATTTTTACTAATATTATTTCCAAGTAGCTTTTGTTTTAATTTTGATTTCTTTACTTTTAATTAGATTGCAATTCTTGTTTCAAGTTTATGCAAAGATCGAGAAATCTCGAACTACTACCCATTGACCCTGAACTAGAACACACTCTCTATTTTTTAAGGGGCTTACAGAGACACAATCGCGAAGCAATAGCAGAACAAGATCCACTAATAGCAAATCAGAACAATCATAATGTTCAACAAAGGGTGATAAAGGACTACATCAAACTAGTTGTCAATGAGAACTACTCTAGTATTGCACACCCAATAGCTGGAAATAATTTCAAACTGAAGCTAGGGCTAATCTATATGGTACTGCAAAATCAGTTTGGGAAAGCTCCAATAGAAGACCCAAATGCTCATCTGGGGATTTTTTTTATGGGAAATTTGTGATACAGTGAAGATGAATGGTGTTACTGAAGATGCCATCAAGCTCTGCTTATTCTCCTTCTCTTTAAGAGATAAGGGCAAAGCATGGTTCCAGTCTTTGCCAAATGGATCTATCACAACTTGGGAAGAATTGGCTCAAAAATTTCACACTAAATTATTTCTTCCTTCCAAGGCAGCTTAATTGGGAAGTGAAATTGGTTGGTACAGACAAGCTGATTTCAAACCATTCTATGAAGCTTGGGAACGATTCAAATATCTGCTTAGAAGATGCTCCCAGTATGGTTATCGGGATTGGATGCAATTCGAACTCTTTTACAATGGGTTGAATAGTCAAACATGGACAGTAGCAGATGCTATAGAAAGGGGTGCATTGATGTCCAAGAGTGTAGATGCTACCTATTCATTACTGAATGAGATAGCTACTAACACTATCAATGGCCAAGTAAGCGTTCAAGTGCAAAGAAAGTCGCTGGCCTTTATGAAGTGGATCCCATTACCGTTCTTCCAGCTTAAATGTCATTTCTCACTAATCAAATAGCTGCATTGACATCACAATGAACTCAGAAGAAATCAGATTCCATCATAGCTGCCTCCACTTCATACTATGAGTCTGAGTCAGAGAATAAGCATTTCTAATATATGAATGGCAGAAACTTCAATCAGAGAGGAAACTACTCAGCAAACCAGTACCATCCAGGACTACAAAACCATGAGAACCTCTCTTATGTTAACAATGGAAATACACTGTAGCCCTACCTAGATAAAATACTCAGCCATCTGAAGAAAAGCCACCACTGGAGGATCTATTGGAAACCTTCATTTCAGGGACCAGGTCGAGGTTCAACAAAGATGAGTCAAGACTTGACAACATTGAGACATATATGACCAACTCGGGGGGGGGGGGCACAGTGAAGAACTTGGAGGTGCAACTTGGTCAGATAGCAACTATGATACAGTCCCAATAGAAAAAAATTTCCCAGTGATACAAAGGTTAACCTAAAGGAGCATTGCAATGCTATCATCCTATGGAATGGTAAAGAAGTTGAAGAAAGCAAGCCTAAAGAGGTTGTTGTGCCTACACCAGATCACATACTTACAGAGGAAAAGCAAATTGAAGAGCAGAAGATCGAAGCAGAGACAACAAAAGATATTCATAAGCCTTATTCAATCTCATTCCCAGATAATCCACCCATCTTGAAGACACCACTATCATTCCCACATAGGTTTATGAAGAAAAAATTTGATGAGCAATTCGCAAAATTCTTGGAGGTTTTCTCTTCGGAGATGCCTTGGCCCAAATGTCCAACTATACAAGTTCTTAAAGAAAGTGATGCCCAAGAAGAAAAAGCTGGATGAGTTTGAAATAATTAATGATATGATCCAGGAGTCGAGCCCGACGAAAGCGAGTACGAGACGAGACCCGTTGATAGTCGATGGCGGACCATAGGCGCGATCAAGGGCAAAGTAAGTAAAACAAGTGATGGGATTACTCGTTCAAGAGACCATTGATGGAACCATGTTCGGGACTCAAAATGGAGCAACTTTCATGTTCGGGTCGAAGGCCGAATCGACTTGGATCAATTTGTTATCAAGCGACGAAAGCGGAGGCAGAAAACAACACCATGCAGCCGCACAGGCAAAACTCCATGCGGCCGCACACATGAATACCGAAAATAAAAATTGTTTTTCTTGATTAACCATGCGACCGCATGGATTTGCACCATGCGGCCGCACAAGCCAAAAAATTGGCGAATTTTCTATTTTTGGCCGAATTTCCTAGTTTCGATAGAATTCTTATGAAATCAAATTATTACCATAATTTGATGGTTTTGGACGTTTTCATTCCTTAGTATAAATAGGAGATTACTTTCATTATAACACCTTTGAACTTTTGACTTTTGAATAAATATTATAGAGAGAAATTTATTCTTTCAATTTATTGTTCTTCTTGAACAATCTTGGAATTTATCAAGAATCAACTTCTTGTGGCGTTCTAATCAATCGGATTGTGGGTTCTTTTAGTTGTAATTCAAGGGGTTTTAGGTTCTTCGCTAATCTAGGGTTTCTTGGTTCAATTCTTGGGGTTCAAGATCAAAAACCGGGTTAGTATTGGCGTTCTTGGGTTCCGCATCAATCTCGTTGTGGGTTTCATAGTTTCCATTGCTACGGGGTTCGCATCAATTGGTATCAGAGCTTTGGCTCCAATTTAATCAGGTTATATCCTTTGTTTTCTAATTTTTTTTCAATTTTTTGTGTTCTTGTGTCCAGAAGGTTTTCTTGATCCTTGATCCAAAAGTTTCATCAAAAATCTTCAAATTCCGTTTTTGGGCTCAATTTTCACCCAAATCAGTTTTCGTTTTCTTTGTTGGTTTTGTTATTGATTTTCGAATCTAAAAAAAAATTACTGTTCATCCGTACGGTACTGTTCATCTGTAAAAAAACTGTTAAATATTATTGATCCGTCAAATACCAACTTTTATTATTCATTATCGTTTCTAAATTACTTGGACACATTGAATCATTCCATTCCTTCAATTCAAATCAAGTTTTAAAAGTTTTCTTTGAGTCCTTTGTTACAATTATTGAGTTACATCCGGTTTGGGGAATTCTACACGAATTGATTGAGTTCATTGATTGTTCCTAGAAGCAATTGTTGAAAGAACTGAGTGGTAAAAGGCAGAGAGGTGAGCTTAATAGAGGGTAA